CCCCAAAACCCCAAAACCCCAAAACCCCAAAACCCCGGTTATCTGGAATAGTATTGAAAGCGAAGGGAAACTAGATAGATCACCAATTTATATCACCATTAATTATTTTAAACCTCTCCATTTTACTGCAGCATTGATTGAGATATCTTATTATCATTCCGAAGACTTGAAGTTCTACTAGGTAATTTCGCATTTCGAGTTTTCTTTGACTTATGCTCTTCTTCACCATTTTCAGAGGGTTTTACAGCAAAGCTATCATGATCGATTTCATCGTGAAATTTTGAGAAAGAAACATTATCAGCCTCAGTTCTTCTTGTACGTCTTTGCTTATAGAATAGAGTTACTATTCTGAAGACTTGCCATATTCACCATCATCAGAAGACAATATTTTCAAGGAGTTCGTTATAATCTAGTTTTTCAAAAGTTGTCGAAAGATAATACAGGAAGTAAATTAAGACGCAGATCACTCCAATGGAAAATTCTAAGATATTACTAAGTCTTTTGAAGTAGGCTTCGAATCCAAGTAAAAATATCTTACAGATTATGTCGATTACGATAAAAAGGTTGATGAATAACTCAAACATCTTGAACGCAAGTGACCTAATAGCTGTTTTTCCTTGTATCACCACCCACAAAATCATCAAGATTCAGATAATAGCTATTGTGAGGTAGAAATAAGGGCATCATGAGTTCAGGTATATTTTATTAAGAAGAGTAGTTAGCCCATCTTCTTCTTGTCCCAGAAGAGTTTTCTGCATAGTTCTAGCTGTTATCTTCTTCTGGAGATTCTGAGGAGTTTCGGCAAAGACTCTATTCCCTTTCATATCCGGGAGGGAGTCATTAACGCTATCACTTTCTCTATTCCAGTTCGTATTTGAGGGATGCATCCTTCCGTTTTTGTAGAACTGGCCTTCGTTCTGAACAACTAATCCATTATCACTTTTAAAATAGCTGATTTTAGACAGACTTTTGTTTCTTTTTGAGTCAAAGTTTATATTGGGAGGTTCCATTTTATTCAAATATTGGAATAATAATTTTTTCAAATTTATTAATTAAATTAGGGGTTTTGGGGTTTTGGGGTTTTGGGGTTTTGGGGTTTTGGG